GGTAAAGAACCGTAAAGAAACCCTCGAAGGAGCTTATAATTTCGCTCACCTAAAAAAAGACTATTACATAATAATAATAATAATAATAATAATGAAATGATAATAACTTAGTTTAAATTATAATCGTCGTGCCAAACCGGCGCCTTCCGAGCTCGACGAACTCTCCCGACGTTGGCTTCCTGTCCCTGCGCGACTTCATGTACCTCCGCTTCCTGACCATCGGCTTCCCGTTCTTCCCCCGGCTCATAGTCCAATGGTGCATTATCACTCTTCCCCGCTTGAGAAACTACCTTGTCCGCAAGGTGGAGATCTGGATAGTGGCAATGTATCTCCTCGCATGGTTCCCATGTTGCATCATCCGTTGTGTTGTCCGACCATTCCACTAAATACTTATGCAGCGACTTGCCCCGTCAAAGGATCTGTCGGCTTGCATGGATCCGAACTGGGATTGAAAGGGGCTGCCCCTGGACGAATTCCTTCGGCAAGGGCATGGGGGAGTCTGCCGGAACCTCGCCATAGTATGGACGTAGCAGGGCCACGTGAAAAACAGGATGTATCCTCGACCCTTCCGGCAACTCCAAGCGGTATGCGACTGGTCCAACACGCTCCAACACCCGAAAAGGTCCGTAGTAACGCCTGGCTAATTTCTGTGACTTCCTCCGTGCTACGGAATGCTGCCTGTAGGGTTGCAATTTGAGCAAGACCAACGCACCCACCTCGAAATGAGTATCCTTGTGATGGCAGTTTGCGGCCACTGCCATTCGATGCTGAGCCTCACGCAAGTGTGCCCTTAATCATCGGAGTAGGCCGTCTCGTTCTGTCAACAATTGGTCCACCTCCGGCACCCTGCTTGTCCCTGGTTTGTACGGCAGAAACGTGGGCGGAGGCCATCCATAGAGAGCTTCAAAAGGTGCCATCCCCAAACCGACGTGAAAACTCATGTTGAGAGCATATTCGGCCCATGGCAATAGCACCGTCCATCGTGCTGGTTTCTCCTGGTCAAAGGCTCGTAAGTATTGTTCAACTCCGCGATTCATCACCTCCGTCTGTCCGTCCGTCTGCGGGTGGAATGCCGTGCTCAATTTCAAGGTCGTCCCGCTAGCTTTAAGGATTTCCTGCCAAAAATGACTCAAGAAGATACGATCGCGGTCAGAGATAATAGTTTTAGGGAACCCATGCAATTTAACAACAATGTCGATGAAAAGGTGTGCGGTGCGGTGGGCATCGAATCCCGTTGGTAACGCCCCGAGGTGGATGACCTTGGTTAGGCGATCCACTACCACGAAGATAACCGTGAATCCCCTTGACGGTGGTAACCCCACGACAAAATCCATAGATATATCCTCCCAAACTTGTGCCGGCACCGGTAATGGTTGTAGAAGTCCCGCCAGGGGTTGGGTCGAGTATTTCGAGGTTTGACAAACAACACACCGTTGGACATACTCCCTGACCTCTGCCCGCATGCGCGGCCAGTAAAAACTTTGAGCCAGGCTTTGGAATGTTTGGTGTACCCCCGGGTGGCCGGCCATGGGCGTGTCGTGATGCTCTCGAATTAGCACTTCCCGGAGATTCGATGTGGCGCTCACACATATGCGCCGGCGGTAATAGAGCATGCCCTCCACTATGGAATATGGTTCTGGCAACACCTCCTGTGCATGCTCTTGATGCCGTGCTACCAGATCCTCCTAGCTTTGATTCTCCCTCTGTAGGTCTGCCATGAGTGTAGGGATTGGCTGGGACACCATTAGCAAAGCTTGGCCCTCTAGCGGCGGTTCATTGACGCGTGAGAGGGCGTCCGCCACGCGGTTTGAGGCCCCCGATTTATACTCAATCTTGAATCGGTACCCCAGTAATTTACGAACATAAAAGTGTTGGTCGGGGGTTTGGACGACCTGCTGGAGCAGCTCCCGAAGGCTTTGGTGGTCTGTTCGAATGAGGAATTCCCGCCCAAGCAAGTACTGTCGCCATTTTTTCACGGACTCAACTATGGCGTACAACTCTTTATGATAAGTCGAAGTCGTCAGCCGTCTCGGGTTCAAATTTTTACGAAAGTAGGCGATGGGGCGTTCCTGCCGGAGCAAAACGGCGCCGATTCCACTCCCGGATGCATTTGTCTCCCCCACAAACTGCTCTCCAAAGTCCGAAAGTCGGAGTACGGGTGCGGTGCTCATGGACCTCTTTAAGCACTCAAAGGCTTCGTGCGACTGCTCCGTCCATGCAAAGGCATCTTTTTTTAGAAGGTCAGTGAGCGGTGCGGCCACCTGGGCGTAGTTCTTCACGAAGCGTCTGTAATATCCTGTAAGGCCAAGGAAAACACGTAGCTGTTTCAACGTAGTCGGATGGGGCCACTGCTCCATTGCCGATATTTTTGATGGGTCGGCCTGTAGCTCGCTGTTGGCCACAATATGCCCACGGTACTCCACCTTCTGGGTGCAGAACATGCATTTGGCTTTCTTGACAAAGAATTGGTGATCCCGAAGCAATATAAAGACCTGCCATAAGTGACGCCCATGCTCTTCCATGGTGGAGCTATAAATCAGTATATCATCAAAGAAAACAATGATGAACTTGCGTAGAAACTTTGCGAATAGTCGATTCATGCAGGCCTGAAACGTCGATGGTGCGTTAGTAAGACCGAACGACATGACCAAGAATTCGTAATGCCCCTTATGCGTTCGAAAAGTCGTCTTATAAATATCCTTATCGTGCATACGGACCTAGTGATACCCCGAACGTAAATCAAGTTTAGAAAAGATCCGTGCCTTGTTGGAAAACATTTTCACTTTGACATTTAGCTAATGACAATGTTTGTTTCCGTTTAGGTTTTGATATTGACAAACTGTCGGGAACATGGAACAAAATGAAAAGATTCAAAGAGATAGAAAAAGTTCCTTGAGGAAACAAAAAGCACAAGAAAGGCATTGACGTTGCTAAAGATGGCGACATTGGCGCTTTGAAGACGTATTCTAAAGACTTAGGTTTTATTGTAACAAGCTCATTCAATTTCTCTACGTCATGGCTCAAAACAAAATATGTTTTTCATG